TCCTCATAGGGTTATTGTGAGGATTCAAGGAGTTGATACATGCAAATCATTTAGAACTGGCACCTGGAAGTCCCAAGAGCTCTGTTACTAGCTCTTACTATTATTGTCAGTGTCACTATTGTTGTTATTTCTATTCTCCTATAAGGTGGAACCCTTAATGCTTAACATTCATGAACCAGTGCTCAAGACAAATTTTACAATTTAAAAAACTGAGGAAACTTAAAAAACAGAGGCAGCAAGAAAAATAGTCGTGAGTCCCCAAATCTCTTCACTGTCCCCATGGGAAGGCATACTGGGACCAGACACACATTGAACACATTATGGGTAAAGGTTTCAGGAGAGTACACTCTCTCTTCTTACAGGACAAGCATGAGCAACTTTGTCAATAAAAAGAGAATAAATTGCTGGTTTAGCACCAACAAGTCTAGATTTGGGTGTCAACTGTTTACCGTTGTCTGGGAAAGTCAGGTCCCCAGCAGCCAAGGACTTTAGGGCCCTTGGGAGATGGTAACCCCTTGGACAGGAGAAAAAGCCACTGGGATTACAGGAGGCTGAGTTTGGGTCCATTCTTGCTCTCAGGGAGCAAAGAGAGCCCCAGTCTCACCTGGCTCATTCTCCAGGCAAACCAGAGTGAGGCATGAGATCATTTTGGACAATGCTGCTTGAGGCACCATTATTTTAATATTTCCTTCATAGAGGAATTCAGTTGCTATCATGCTTGTGCTGTGAATCCATCTTGGGTACCTTGAGCCTCCAGGTTTTCTGAGAATCTGCTCCTCTATCAAGACAAATGCAAAAAATGTCTTCTAATAACTTTTGTTAAGTCAATAACATTTATTAATGTGTCAGGCACTGTACTAAATGATGAAAACGCAAAATATAGAGAAATAATCCCTGTTTTCAAGTATATATAGCTTTGAAGGAAAGGCAGATGAAAAATTACAATACAATGTAATGTATGCAATAATAGAAATGTGTGCAAGACTCAGAGCATTCAGAAATGACTCTGTTCAGCCAGAGATTAGTTTGCAAACTATGAAGTAAATTTTTTATTTACCCAGAAAATTAAACTTAAGATCCAAATAAAAACACCGAAGTCTAATTAGCAGATGCTATGACAAAAGACAGCATGGTAATCACCCCTAAAATTGTGTAAATTAATGTAAAATTGTGGAGGAAAATGTTATATCAGGAAAACTGAAAAGCATTTCTGCAGAATAGCCAGAGGAAATGTTTGGAAGCTAAAAGGAACTATGTTCAGATTTCATATCTGCCACCTATACTGTGTGGATTCAGGCCATTTTTCTAACCACTCTACATCGAAACTTTAAGAATGGGGATAATAATCTACCACGCTGAGTTATTTTAAGCAGTAAATGAAGGAAAATATGCAAAGCGCCTAGCACATGATAGATACTCAGTAAAGGCAGCTAATTTTTTTTTTCTCAGAATATAACCTCAGTTGTCATCTACTTTATTCTAAGCGCTTGTGATTAGGTAACTGTGGCTCTCTTGGAGTGGGATCTTTAAGGCTTTCTATAGTGGAATTCTATCCCATTTTTCTTATTACTTTTCAAAACTGTCCACAATAGTTTTGAGGTATTACAAGCATTTTTACACACATCCTATTGTACTAAAATGTGTTGAAAATGTCTTAAAACCCAAGCCTAGGTGGTAGCAAAAGTACTCAGAAAGCAGGTAAGAAAAAATCCTGTTCAATAGTGGAATGTAAAATGAATAGAAAATTGCTGGTATCCTGACTGGTCACAAAGACACTGATGGGATTACGAGAAAATCCCTATTATAAAAAACAAAACAAAACTACAGCTGAGCAGTTCAGAGGTTCCCGGAGGCATTTTACTGCTCCTTTTTACAAACTGCCTCTAGCATAAATTACAGGTATTGTAGAGTCATGTCAAGTAGTGTCAATTTTAAAAGAAATTAAAATAAGATGTGGGTTTTTTTTTTTAAATTACAGAACGTGTGCAGATGGCATTACAATAAAAGTTATTCTGTTAGCAATATTAACATTTGCACTTTTATATTTTTGTTGTCAAGAGAGGGCAGGGGTGAGGTTGAATGGTGTTTGTCTTTAAATATTTGTCTTTCCCTCAGTTTTCCCACCCCAAAAATGAGGAAAATAACCCCTTTTTCTTTGCCTTTCTCCAAGAGATGATATAAGAAGAAAGGCTCATATGAATACCTATGAATGCTTCATTAAAAAATTAGTTACATAAATTCTGGGTTAATTTTAACACATTGTTAAGAAATTCCCAAGTGGGCCATATAATCAATATCTTGCCTTATCTACTGATTATATTACAAAAATAAAAATAAAACCTCATCATCCACTGTTGCTCTTAACTTCGGTTTCTTTTTTTTTTTTTTTAACTTTGGCTTCTTATAAAGCAGCGGTTCTCAACCTGTGGGTCGCGACCCCTTTGGGGGTCGAACAACCCTTTCACAGGGGTCGCCTAAGACCATCGGAAAACACATATAATTACATATTGTTTTGTGATTAATCACTATGCTTTAATTATGTTCAATTTGTAACAATGAAATTGGGGGACACCACAACATGAGGAACTGTACTAAAGGGTCGCGGCATTAGGAAGGTTGAGAACCACTGTAAAGAGAGTTCTTTCTCTAGAGCTGTGCTGCCCCATAGAGTAGCCACTAGCCACATGTGCCTTTTTAAATTTTAATTAGTGCAAACTAAAACTAAAAATTCAGTTCCTAAGTCCTACTAGCCACATCTCTAACGCCCCTTGGCCACACGTGACCAATTGCTAGCATACTGGACAGAGAATATTTCATCATCACAGAAAGTGCTATTGGAGAGCGCTGGCCCAGAGAAAGCTGGGGCTGAATGCCCCTGTTGCTCTGAGGCCTTAAGCTAGCCATTGATAACATTCCAAAGATGAAATGATCTGAGAAGTTATTAGAGGACCTACAATCATGCATCAGACTAAGGGAAAGCCAGGAGTAGGTGAAGAGGAATTCAATAGGCAATAAAGAAGAAATGTTAACTAGAAAAGAATACACATGGACTTATTATTAAAGGACAAAAAAATTATTCAGGAATTCAGTGCTTCAGCAGAAGTACATTTTACTCAAAACATTTGTTACACATGGTTTGCACTAAATGTATCTATCTTATGCTGACTTTCTGATGTCTTAAATGGATTTTGAGATGTTCCAGCTAAACCACACAAAAACTATTTCTTGACATTGTGATGAAACTTAACCTCCCTTCTGTACACCATGTGTTTAAAAGACACATTTTCCTCTCAGAGGGATTAGAGGATGGTATGGGGATATTTGCAATTTTCCTTCTCAGCTTTTGTATTTACCTTGTCTGGACCATTTGAATTCACAAGTAGTTTTCATATTTACCAATATTTTGGCTTTTAGCCACTGTTCTCAAAACTGCCTGGTACTGGCACAAGAACAGACATATAGACCAGTGGAATAGAATAGAGAGTCCAGAAATTAGCCCGAACCAATATGCTCAATTAATTTTTGACAAAGGAGGCATGAACATACAATGGAGCCAAGATAGTCTCTTCAATAAATGGTGTTGGGAAAATTGGACAGATATATGCAAGAAAATGAAACTAGACCACCAACTTACACCATACACAAGAATAAACTCAAAATGGATAAAGGACTTAAATGTACGACAGGAAACCATAAAAATTCTAGAAGAATACAAAGGCAACAAAATCTCAGACATATGCCAAAACAATTTCTTCACTGATACAGCTCCTAGGGCAGTTGAAACTAAAGAGAAAATGAACAAATGGGACTACATCAAAATAAAAAGCTTCTGCACAGCAAAAGAAACCATCAACAAAACAACAAGAAAACCCACCTCTTGGGAAAACATATTTGCCAACGTCATATCTGATAAGGGCTTAATCTCCAAAATTTATAGGGAACTCATACAACTTAACAAAAAGAAGATAAACAATCCAATCAAAAAATGGGCAAAGGATCTAAATAGACACCTTTCAAAAGAGGACATTCAGAAAGCCAAGAGGCATATGAAAACATGCTCAAAGTCACTAATCATCCGAGAGATGCAAATCAAAACAACAATGAGGTACCATCTCACACCTGTCAGAATGGCCATCATCAACAAATCAACAAACGACAAGTGCTGGAGAGGATGTGGAGAAAAAGGAACACTTGTGCACTGCTGGTGGGAATGCAGACTGGTGCAGCCACTATGGAAGGCAGTATGGAGGTTCCTCAAAAAATTGGAAATGGAACTCCCATTTGACCCTGTGATCCCACTACTAGGAATATATCCCAAGAAACCAGAAACACCTATCAGAAAGGATATATGTAACCAGATGTTCGTAGCAGCACAATTCACCATAGCTAAGATCTGGAAACAGCCTAAGTGCCCATCAGTAGATGAATGGATTAGAAAACTGTGGTACATCTACACGATGGAATACTATGCTGCTGTTAAAAAGAAGGAACTCCTACCATTTGCAACATCATGGATGGAACTGGAGAGCATTATGCTAAGTGAAACAAGCCAGTCAATGAAGGAAAAATACCACATGATCTCACTCATTCATGGATAATAAAGACCATTACAAACTTTTGAACAATAATAGATACAGAGGCAGAGCTGCCTCAAACTGATTGCCAAACTGCAGTGGGAAGGCCAGAGAGAGTGAGTTGGGGGGCAGGAGGGAGGGGAGTAAGAGATCAACCGAAGGACTTGTATGCATGCATATAAGCATAACTAATGGACATAAGACACTGGGGGGTAAGGGAGGGTAGGAGTTTGTCAAGGGCGGGGGGGAAAAAAAAAGGACACTTATGTAATACCCTTTGTAATACTTTAAGCGAAAAATAAAAAAATATAAAAAAAAATATTTTGGCTTTTACTTCCTATATACTAGTAAAAAGAAATTATAACTTAGCATATGTATTATCTGTCCCACAAAGTAAGAGAATAACCTTTGTATGCTTGCCTTTAGGTCATTCTGTCCATTGAAGAAGGTTACAGACTTCCAGCTCCCATGGGCTGTCCAGCATCTCTGCACCAGCTGATGCTCCATTGCTGGCAGAAGGAGAGAAATCACAGACCAAAATTTACTGACATTGTCAGCTTCCTTGACAAACTGATCCGCAATCCCAGTGCCCTTCACACCCTGGTGGAAGACATCCTTGTGTAAGATGCATAGAGTTGATTTTTCTCCCTTGACAATCAATTTCTTTCAGGCTATAGACAGACTAACAGAAGAGGAAGTTTGCCTTGATAACCACCTAGTTGTCAACCTTTTAGAAAATGGTGTATGAACTATATTTTACTTAACAGCTGCAAAGGAATGTATTAACATTTTAGAAAATTGTGTTGTTTTTTATTCACAAGAAAATAGGTTCCCCTTTTCTTTTCTCCATATCACATCTTTGTGAAATTTTTTATACTTGTCCTGTGTGGGTTTCTGGTATTTACATATCCTTTACTTACTGATCCTTCCTTACTTTTATAAGTAGAATATGTGCATGCCTGCAGCCCCTTTAATTTTCTTGTTCGTTTTATGTATGTTCTGTCCCTCTATTTGAAATGTCAGGCAAGATGAGCAATTTGTGAACCTGCCAGGAGCAAGGATGTTTCCTGCTGATATGATCACACCCAGCTGTTGTTACTTTCCATTCCTAAAGCCAGAGAAAGACAAGAAAATGAAGGCACTCGTATCCCATTTTATAAAAGTTAAGATCCACTCACCTCTCTCTGAAAAGCAATTATAAGAAGGGAGAGCGTAGAAGGAAAAAATACTATCATCTGTGTCTGAAATTATTACATTGAAAATATTATTAAGTTGAACATATATTTCTTTATTTAGGCCAAATTGGACTTAAAAGTAACCAAAGCCTTTCCAAAACTCACTTTCCTGGCTCAGGGGATGCCCAGCAGGATACACAGATATTTAACTTTAGGTCACAAGTTCAAGTCAGCACGGTTTTTAGTAACAGTAAGGCCGGAGGCTCTTCAAGGACTGCTTGGAACAGGCCTGAGCTCAAGCAGAGCACGTGCGTTCACCTCTAAATCACTAATTGGCATCCTTAGTAAAGTGAAGCCAAGCATGAAATAGCCAGAGATTAAGCTTTCACTCTAGCCATCTTCCCTAAAGCAGTCCAACCCAGGAAGCTGTAAAGTAGGGGTGGGTGGGAGGTTGGAAGGCCCTCTGGATTTTATCACAAAAGCTATGGCAGCCATTGAAGATTTTTGAGCAAGAAAATGGCAAGATTATATTTGCATTTCTTAAAGATCACTCGAGGGGTGATGTAGACTGGGAGTAAAATACAAGGAGACTGGAAACAGACAATTATATATTTGCAGCAATACAAGCTAGAAAAAATCAGGGCCTGACTTATGAAATGGGAATAGGCTTGGGGTCAGGAGATTTTAAAAATTGATTTATTATTAAGCAAGAAAAAAAATGTGTCTTAGTCATTGATTGAATATATAGCGAGAGGAGGAGAAAAAAGAATCAAGGATATTTGTCAAGTTTTTTTCTTAGACAAGCTGGTTGATGCTATTACCACTAAGAAGGGCAAGATTTTGGAATAGAAATGAGACCACTTTGAGCAGAGAGGTCCTACAGGCAGTTATATGTGTAGATTGAACCTCAGGTGAAAAGATCTAGGCTAGAGATGTAGGTTTGAAGATCATCAGCATATAGATTATAGCTGAAGCTTTAAATGTAGTTAAGGTAAACCATGGAGAATATAAAGAATACAAATTAACAGGAATAGAATGCAATCCTCTGGAACACCAAGATTTAAGAAATAAACTGAAGGAGAGTACAACGGACACTGAGGAAGAAGAGCCAGGTAGGTAATGAGGAAAGCAGGGGAGGAGTGGTATCATAGAAGCCAGAAAGGGAGAGAGATTCAAGGAGAGTGAGATCCAAGGCTCCACAAAGCTTCAGGAAGATAGAAGGTGAAGTATATCCATTGAATTTATTTTTCCCCCACTTATCCCCCATATACCCTCTTCCACCACCACAACCCCCTAGCTGCTGTGCCTCTCCTCTTCCCCACCCCCACAGTCACCACACTGTTCAATTGAGCAACAAGATGCTCAGGTGTTCACGGGCAGCCTTTGCAAGAGCATTTTCAATAAAGTTGTGTAAGACAGATTGCAATGGAGGAGGAAGGAATATGAGGTCAGAAAGAAGAGCAATATAAAGTACAAGTCTGGTTTTGTTTTTGTTTTTCAAGAAACCTGTCTCTGAAGAGAAAGAGAATTAGTCAGAGATAATATCTTTATATGTTTTGTGGAAGAGTCAGGCATGCCTTAACATTGAGGAGAAAGAGCTAGCAGAAAGGGCTCATGGAGTGAGTCTGCGTTAATGAAAGAACATTGGCACCTATAAACTGAAATCATTTATTCTGGGCTTCTCGTTATGGAATAGGGTCGCCGGACCCCACAGCCAGTGCCCCCCAGCAGAGCTCTCCAGCTGTTCTGTGGCTATACAAGCAGGCAGGTAAGAGCCTTCTTTTTGAAGAAAGAGATAAAACAATTTCTTCCTGCTTTTTCAAGATTATGAATGTTCATCACATTTGGAAAATACTGATGAAGAATCTAATATGAGAAAATACCAAAAGTCAAAATGATAAGAGTTGAAATCAAGATGAGGGCTCCTTGTCTGAGGGCCAGAGGTCTAAGGTTCAGTGGGATGTACGGTAATGAGTGCGCAGGTCAGTGAATGGCAGGCTCCCGGAGGCACGCTACATGAGGGCCAGAAGTTGGTGCTTTAATAAGTATAGACCAGTGGTCGGCAAACCGCGGCTCGCGAGCCACATGCGGCTCTTTGGCCCCTCGAGTGTGGCTCTTCCACAAAATACCACGTGCGGGCGCACACGTACAGTGCGATTGAAACTTCGTGGCCCATGCGCAGAAGTCGGTTTTTGGCCTGGGCGAGTCTATTTTGAAGAAGTGGCGTTAGAAGAAGTGGGGGGTGTCGGTCGGGTGAAGGGAGTCAGGGCGCAGGCGGGCCACGGGATACGCAGCACAGGGGAGGCGTGCATGATTCATGCACGAGTTGAGTGAGCCAGTCAGTCAGCAGTCTCATTGTGCAGTGGTTAGTGCTAGTCGCGTCCGCAAATCGCGCGCGGGTGACAAAAGTACCTACTCGAAGCATAAAGTTACCTGTATTTTTCCAACCAGCTGCAAATCCTACAGGTATTTTTGTCATCAATTTAAGAATTGTAATTATTTTGTGTTGGTGGCTTTATTATTATAAAATGAAACATTTTTTTAGGTATGTTGAGATGGTTTGGACAAATAGAGAGGATGAACGAAAGGAGATAGACGAAACAAGTATACAAGACGAGTGTGGATGGGAGAGTTGGAAGGGGTCGACCTCAGCAAACGTACCTCAATCAGATTGAGGACGTTTTTAGCAAAGGCCAGCTTAGGAGTACCCTAATTAAGTTAATAACAATGTGCCTACCTATATAGTTTAAGTTTAAAAAACTTGGCTCTCAAAAGAAATTTCAATCGTTGTACTGTTGATATTTGGCTCTGTTGACTAATGAGTTTGCCGACCTCTGGTATAGACAGTTGGCAGTTTGATTCAGTCCTCAATTCTAATCTGTGGGAGACCAAATGGAGGTTTGTGTTACTGATTTGCTGTCCTTGACACAGACATGTGCACTACTGCTGTTGCCCTTAACATCCTTTGGTTTGAGAAACCAAAGGAACCAGTGTTCTAAAGGTATTGTGCCTGAACTTTTATCAGCATTATTTTCCCAATAGCATGAATGGGATCCCCTGTCAACCCCCTCACCCCCACTGCTGCCCACTCACCCCGTCCCTGATCCCAAAGCACTGAGACTGTTTAGGGAGAAGAGACATGGTAGATAAGGGTAAGAATGTTAGGTAAAGAATGCCTCATTTGTTTTATGCTTAGAAAACTGTGGCACTGCCCCTCCGTCCCCCAAGTGCCAAAGCCCAGTTGTGTGTCCCAGAGTGATATTGGATTAAGGAAATGTGACAGAGTGCAGAATTTCAGTCTTTCCTCCCATAGAGCTCTCAGCCTGGGAAAGAAGTCTAAGTACATAACCCACAGTGACTCTTATTAACTCTCCTGCACTTGCCTCTTCTCTACTATCCCCAAACTCCCAAGGTTCTCTGACACTTCTACACTGACACAACTCTCTCATCCTCTAGGTTCCCATGGTTTTTATTCCACTCTAATTGCTTTTTCTCAAGAATTCACCTGAGAAGATTTTCTTTTTTTAAAAAATATATTTTATTGATTTTTTACAGAGAGGAAGGGAGAGAGATAGAGAGTTAGAAACATCGATGAGAGAGAAACATCGATCAGCTGCCTCCTGCACACCACCTACTGGGGATGTGCCCGCAACCCAGTTACATGCCCTTGACCGGAATCGAACCTGGGACCTTTCAGTCCGCAGGCCGACGCTCTATCCACTGAGCCAAACCGGTTTCGGCCACCTGAGAAGATTTTAACCTTTCTCTTAACAGAGTAGTAAGAGGGGAAGAAATTAAGGGAACAAAGGGGGATGAGGAAGGCTGCGAAATCCACAGCTTAATAAGTTTATACTAACATAGTGGAAATTTCATAACCTTATACCTTTAATATTTCCTTTCAAAAGACATGCCCAACAGAAATAATGTTGGGCAGAGAAGGCTTTCATTATTTTGAGCAGCATCTCTAAATAATGCTGATAGTCCTGGACCTGACACACTCCCATGGGAGCATTCAGAGCTCTGTGCAGTTCCCGAACTTCTTGCTTTCTCTCCTACTCAAGAAGGTGTATGGATATATTAGTGAGCATAGTGTTATTGTAACTACAACCTTAAATTGATTGTAAAAAATAATTTTTCAAAAACACCTTTATAATATAGGCAGTTATCCTTTCATATGTGTGAATTTCATACTCTTTTCACTTTAATTTATTCTATAATTCTGCCCTATAATCTCCTTTCAAAGAATTATTTGTAGCTATCACATGGTGCACAGCCCCTGGGAGAAAAGGCCCAGTTTGAGGCCAAGGCTATGTGGACAATTGCAGCAGGAACACCTCTTGCTCCCTCTTCCCTGATCTTCATGATCAAATTGGTAACTACTCTCAACCCCAAGTCAAGCATAGTCCCAGAGTCCAGAGTTACATCTTGGGTCCAGTAGTTTAATA